GTGATAATACGCTCAATGGTTGGGTCATTGGCGAGGTTCAGGAACAAGCACACATTCTCCATGGAACCATTTTCTTCAAAGTCCTGCCAAATATTTAAATGTGTCATCATCAGTGAAATATATTAGTCATAACAATATATACATAACCCCTCATATTGTAATTTTAAAAGCTAATCTAAATTATGAGAGCTAAATAAACAAGTCAATAAGGATTAACTCCTTAGTGACAGGTACAGCTATTGCAGTCAAGACATGTAAACACTTCATGACTCACAGTGGGTGGGCCAGTTGTCCACAGCTTAGGCCTAGCCACAAAGTCTAGACTGTTGAGTAATACTACTTCACAAATAAATCAGACCCCATCACCATAGGGATTAATTAACACATGCCATTATACATAAATAAGAAAGAAAGAAAGAAAAATATCCAGTAACATATCAAAGCATCAAATCTGAATGTGGTTTGGAAAAAAAGTGCTAAAAAAGTGTACATTGGCCAGTATGAGATAAATACATTTTTATATCTTTCACTTTGCTAAGCTCCCTAATTCCATCCTTTGATATTTGAAACAGATACTGAAACCAACATAATCACACACTAAATTCAATATTTCTAGTTATCTTCAAAATAAAAAAAGAATAGTATACCATTTTACTACACTATGTTTTGAAAACTATTAGATGCAGTTACTTAGATTCTAAGGTTACATATAAACAAACCATAAACTATGATTTTAGAGAATATTTCCATGTCTGAGAACACACTGAATGAAAAAAATATTTTTACTTCTGGACATTCTATGATAAATTGTATATGATTCTTCATAATTAGTTCTGACTTTTTATAGATGATTTGGGAAATTTCAATTATCATCAATAGCCCTATATCACTAATCCAAATTTTAATATATGAGAACTGTTAATTCCCAAAACCATTTTTTTTAAATATAAATATTGCAAAGTGTATGAAAGAACACTTGCATCCATACATCCACATCCACACTCATGCACATAATACCCTCTCTTTCCAGTTCCCAATTGGCAACTGAATACGCACAATAAAATTGGACCTGGCTTTTAGGGGTAAGCACCCAAATAAGTTCATTCTTATGCTGTGCCATTCAAAATCTAGGCCAATTGTACACAGCTTTTGCTATCAGAATCTGTGGTTTTCCTTATAATGTCCCTAATATGCAAGGCCCTGATTATCTAAAATTACAATAGAAAATAATAATGAAATGGTTATCTAGCTATGTCTTATTCAATACCCTCATTCACATCTATGCTGTGGAGAGGCACTGAAGGACTACCACACACACTTGCACGTACGCACACTCGCACGCACACACACTCGCACGCACGCACACACGCACACACGCACACTCGCACGCACGCACACATGCACGCACGCACACTCGCACGCACGCACGCACACACACACGCACGCACACACACACGCACGCACACACGCACACTCGTGCGCACGCACGCACACACGCACACTCGCACGCACGCACACACGCACACTCGCACGCACGCACCCACGCACTCGCACACACGCATGCACGCACACACACACACTCGCACGCACACACACACACTCGCACGCACACACACACACTCGCACGCACACCACACACACTCGCACGCATACGCACACGCACACACACACACACACACACACACACACACACACACACACACACACACACACACACACACACACACACACACACACACACGTGTGTGGAATTCATGATGAACAGATTGCAATAGGAACGACGAAGGAAAGGATAAGAAATCTCTACAAAATTTGTGTTTTCTTGTATTTCCTTTCGTTGTTCCTGTTGCACACACACACATATGCGCATGCACACACACACAAATGCGCATGCACACACACACATATGCGCATGCACACACACACAAATGCGCATGCACACACACACATATGCGCATGCACACACACACATATGCACATGCACACACATATACATGCGCATACACACACACATACATGCGCATCCACACACACATACATGCGCATCCACACATATACATGCGCATGCACACACATATACATGCGTATACACACACATATACATGCGTATACACACACACATGTAAACATACACACATGCATACACACACACATGCGTACACACACATATGCATGCACACACACACATATGCATGCACACACACACACACACACACACATACACACAAACACAAACACAAACACACACACACACACACACAGACACAGACACAGACACAGACACACACACACACACAGATACACACACAGACACACACACAGACACACACACAGACACACACACAGACACACACACAGACACACACACACACACACACACACACACACACCACACACACACACACACACACACACACACACACACACACACACACAACACACACACACAAAATTAAAAATTAATGTATCCTCTCTACAAAATACGAATTACTACAATTTCATAAAAGAAGAAAAAATGTAAAAATCAAACATATCAATATAGATAAACAACAGACCCCTCTCTCCCCACCCAAGCTGAAATGAGCAAACACAGCCAAGGTTAAAGCTTCAACAAGTTGGCATTGGCCTGGTTGCCAGCTACCACATAAATTAGAGTATCAAATGAAAATACAGTTTTACTGCACTGAATTGTTGTGTAATGACATTTTACTAAAACATTGTTAATCTTCAATGTAAATGATAACTATACTTAATTCATGTATAAACTTTTGAATAAAAACATATAGGAACACTACTTTTCCGCTTCCTGACCTTACCCAGGTTGCATCTTTTGATTTACTGCAGTGTGAAATAACCTTTCTGAAACTAGACCATTCCAGTTTTTCTGTTTGGTTTTCTAACAGAAGACCAAATTCTTTGAAAAAATAAAATTGTCATTGTCATTACCCTTATTATTACTATCATTACAATCATCATAATTATTACCATTATAATCATCATTACTATAATCATAGTTATTATTATTCATATTATTGCTATGATTATTATTATACTAATCATCAACATCATTATTCCTGCTATTATCATCATTACTATTACTTTTTTCATAATCATTATATTTTTAGTGTTAATATCATTATCATTATCATTATTGTTATCATCACTTGTGTTATCATTATCATATTACTACTATAATCATTATCATTAACATCATTATTTTTATCATATTGAGTATTACCAGTATTACCATTCATAGTAAATATCAATATCAGCAATAATAATCCGAACCTTTTCCGTGAAGGGTAAAGGAAATTGGTAAATAAGTGAGGTCAGAAACGTTAAGTAATTAGCTGCTTGTGCTTGTGGAACAAAACCACTGTGAACAGTCTATATATAATGGCATTTGAGCATTAAAAATGGCTTATCCTTCTATCACATTATCTACTGTATACATAATTTGAGAGATAGTAACCTGCTTGAAGAAGCGTGCTGTTTCCATGTTGACACCCATAGCAGCAAAAACAATGGCAAAGTTATCCTTGTGGTCATCAAGTACACCTTTCGATGGCAGGTTGACCAAACCAGCCTGACGACAAATCTGGGCTGCAATTTCATTGTGAGGCAGACCAGCAGCTGAGAAAATGGGAATCTTCTGACCTCTGTGAATATATAAATTTCTTTTTATTAGGAAAGCCTTCTGAACTTACCAATGAGTGTGTTAAATCAACAAATGACATAACATAATAAAATGCTGCATTTTTGTATTTCACATTCATCTATGCTGCATGAAGCTATGAGACAAAGCAACCCACCGAGCAATTGAGTTCATGACATCAATGGATGAAATACCAGTCTGGATCATTTCCTCTGGATAAGTTCGAGACCACGGATTGATGGGCTGACCTAATGTGGAAGAATAATACCTTTAAGCCAGGATGTTCATACTTCATCAATGCTAATAATAGGTGACAAAGTGCATGAAAATCAATATGCAACTCTAATAAAATAAAAATTATAATTTACCTTGAATGTCCAAAAAATCTTCTGCCAGTACAGTTGGTCCCTGGTCAATGGGCTTACCAGAACCATTAAAAACACGACCCAACATATCTTCTGACACTGGAGTACGCAGAATGTCTCCAGTGAACTCACATACTGTATGCTTGGCATCTACACCTGAGGTTCCCTCAAATACCTGTTGGAAAAACAGCAGAAGGTAACTTCACTGTTCATAAGGTACACAATGTTGTAGTAATATCTAGTATCACATATCTATATATTTTAGTTTCAGAAGCCAAGGATATTCTTCATATTTACCTGCACCACAGCCTTGGAACCACTAACTTCCAACACCTGTCCCTTTCGCTCTGTACCATCAGCCAAATGCAAATTTACAATTTCAGCAAATTTAGGAAATTTGACATCGTCAAGAATGACAAGTGGGCCGTTGACGCCAGTGACAGTCTTGTAGCATAGGCGTGGCTGGGCAATGTAGTCCCGCTGCACTGCAGCCACTTGTTGCAAGTGACCAAGGCTTGTCATTTCTGTTCAAGATTAAAGGGGAATTAACCTCAGATTTCAGTAACACAGTGATTCTAATGAACCCATTTCTGGGGAGTGAAGAAGAAATTTCTAAAAGTAATAGTCCTTTCAAATTACCAGATAAAAAAATAATAATAATCAAAAGAATAAATAAACATTTACAATAAAGGTAATGGTGATATATTGCAATGCTAGGAGTAATGCTATCAAAAAGTATGAAGCAATAGTCTAACAATCATTAGTCATAATACCTATCTATATCTGAACATTACACAAAGAGCTATGATACTTTTCTATACAACTTACTAAATCTTAAGTTTCTTTTTTGGGGGAAATGGTTAAAAAGGAGAATAGATGTAAATAAAGCAAGTTAACTCATAAAAATAAATAAAATTATCTACAGGTGTTTCAGGGCTTCAGGTTAAATATATATTACCAGGCAATATAAAATTATTTTTCATCAAGAGTAATGCATAACATGGCACAAAACAAGTACATTTTTCATATTTTGCATGAATAGTGGCTCATATTGCACATAAAACAATAAATCGTAAATAAAGTTCAATATCTTTGATATACAGATGGAAAATCAAGATATGATCACTTCAAGCCAATAAAAATAATTACTTAGCAATTTTTGTATCAAGTCACTCTCCTCAGACATCCCTAGGAAATCTGGTCCTCATCCTTTTCACAAAATAATAGGCTTTTTCCTGCTTATATGTTTGCAGTCATGATTTCTAACTACAGACATAGAATAAAAATACACCAACATATTCACCTGGCATTTCTAGCAACCTCCCATGAATCTTGGCATATTTGAAGAGAGGCAGAAAGGAAAGGAGGGAGAAGGGGAAGGGGAGAGAGAGAAGAGAAAGGGAAAGGGAGAAGAGGGAGAGAAAGGGAAAGGGAGAAGAGGGAGAGAAAGGGAAAGGGAGAAGAGGGAGAGAAAGGGAAAGGGAGAAGAGAAAGAGAAAGGGAAAGGGAGAAGAGAAAGAGAAAGGGAAAGGGAGAAGAGAAAGAGAAGGGGAGAAGAGAAAGAGAAAGGGAAAGGGAGAAGAGAAAGAGAAAGAGAAAGAGAAAGAGAAAGAGAAAGAGAAAGAGAAAGGGAAAGGGAAAGGGAGAAGAGGGAGAGAAAGGGAAAGATAGAAGAGAGGGAAAGGGAGAAGAAGAGGGAGAGAAAGGGAAAGGAGAAGGGGAGAGAAGGGAGAAGGGGGGAAAGGGAAAGGGAGAAGAGAGAGAGAGAGAGGGAAAGGGAGAAGAGGGAAAGGGAGAAGAGGGAGAGAAAGGGAAAGGAAGAAGAGGGAGAGAAAGGGAAAGGGAGAAGAGAAAGAGAGAGGGAAAGGGAGAAGAGAAAGAGAGAGGGAAAGGGAGAAGAGAAAGAGAGAGGGAAAGGGAGAAGAGGGAGAGAGGGGGAAAGGGAGAAGAGGGAGAGAAAGGCAAAGGGAGAAGAGGGAGAGAAAGGCAAAGGGAGAAGAGGGAGAGAAAGGCAAAGGGAGAAGAGGGAGAGAAAGGCAAAGGGAGAAGAGGGAGAGAAAGGCAAAGGGAGAAGAGGGAGAGAGAGGGAAAGGGAAATGGGGGAGAGAGAGGCAAAGGGAAATGGGGGAGAGAGAGGCAAAGGGAGAAGAGGGAGAGAGAGGCAAAGGGAGAAGAGGGAGAGAGAGGCAAAGGGAGAAGAGGGAGAGAAAGGCAAAGGGAGAAGAGGGAGAGAAAGGCAAAGGGAGAAGAGGGAGAGAAAGGAAAAGAGAAGAGGGAGGAAGGAAAGAGAGAAGAGGGAGAGAAAGGAAAAGAGAGAAGAGGGAGAGAAAGGAAAAGAGAGAAGAGGGAGAGAAAGGAAAAGAGAGAAGAGGGAGAGAAAGGAAAAGAGAGAAGAGGGAGAGAAAGGAAAAGAGAGAAGAGGGAGAGAAAGGAAAAGAGAGAAGAGGGAGAGAAGGAAAGAAGAGAAGAGGGAGAGAAAGGAAAAGAGAGAGAGGGAGAGAAAGGAAAAGAGAGAAGAGGAGAGAAGGAAAAGAGAGAAGAGGGAGAGAAAGGAGAGAGAAGAGGGAGAGAAAGGAAAAGAGAGAAGAGGAGAGAAAGGAAAAGAGAGAAGAGGGAGAGAAAGGAAAGAGAGAAGAGGGAGAGAAAGGGAAAGAGAGAATAGGGAGAGAGAGGGAAAGGAAGAAGAGGGAGAAAAAGGGAAACAAAGAAGAGGGAGAAAAGGGGAAAGGGAGAAGAGAGAGAGAAAGGGAAAGGGGGAAGGGGGAGAGAGAGGGAAAGGGGGAAGAGGGAGAGAGAGGGAAAGGGAGAAGAGGGAGAGAAAGGGAAGGGAGAAGAGGAGAGAAAGGGAAAGGGAGAAGAGGGAGAGAAAGAGAAAGGGAGAAGAGGGAGAGAAAGGAAAAGAGAAGAGGGAGAGAAAGGAAAAGAGAGAAGAGGGAGAGAAAGGAAAAGAGAGAAGAGGAGAGAAAGGAAAAGAGAGAAGAGGGAGAGAAAGGAAAAGAGAGAAGAGGGAGAGAAAGGAAAAGAGAGAAGAGGGAGAGAAAGGAAAAGAGAGAAGAGGGAGAGAAAGGAAAAGAGAGAAGAGGAGAGAAAGGAAAAGAGAGAAAGAGGGAGAAGAAGGAAAAGAGAGAAGAGGGAGAGAAAGGAAAAGAGAGAAGAGGGAGAGAAAGGAAAAGAGAGAAGAGGGAGAGAAAGGAAAAGAGAGAAGAGGGAGAGAAAGGGAAAGAGAATAGGGAGAGAAGGGAAGGAGAAGAGGGAGAAAAGGGAAACAAAGAAGAGGGAGAAAAGGGAAAGGGAGAAGAGAGAGAGAAAGGGAAAGGGGGAAGGGGGAGAGAGAGGGAAAGGGGGAAGAGGGAGAGAGAGGGAAAGGGAGAAGAGGGAGAGAAAGGGAAAGGGAGAAGAGGGAGAGAAAGGGAAAGGGAGAAGAGGGAGAGAAAGAGAAAGGGAGAAGAGGGAGAGAAAGGAAAAGAGAGAAGAGGGAGAGAAAGGAAAAGAGAGAAGAGGGAGAGAAAGGAAAAGAGAGAAGAGGGAGAGAAAGGAAAAGAGAGAAGAGGGAGAGAAAGGAAAAGAGAGAAGAGGGAGAGAAAGGAAAAGAGAGAAGAGGGAGAGAAAGAAAAAGAGGGAAGAGGGAGAAAAAGGAAAAGAGAGAAGAGGAAGAGAGGGGGAAAGAGAGAAGAGGGAGAGAAAGGAAAAGAGAGAAGAGTGACAAAATATTTTGTGAAATATATCTAAAAAAGAAGAAGTAAGTTTTGTGTCCTTTTACACACGAAATATGCTTCGATCGTGACTCCCTGGTAATATGTTTTAGCTTACGAGGTAATATATACGTATATCACATACGAAGCACTAATGTTTAAAAATAGCCTTATAAGGAAGGATTGAAATATTTCCGTTACATTTTGCTCAACAGTCGGTACATCAGGGGGCAATTTGAATTGATTTGAAATTGGTAGTTACCATTGTAAAGACCACTTCAATACGAATGGTTACCTAAATGTCAGATTTTTAAACTGCGGATGTATAAGCGAGATACAGATTATTTCATGTTGAAGATGAAAGTACTCAGTAATCATCATCATCATCAAGGGGGCTGACGCCGACGGGGGCGCATAGCCACATCCACCCTTCGCTTCCACCTACGAGGATCCCTCATGGCTAGATGCCAGGCAGGGACTCGGCCCATCTCTATTTCTTCACGGCAGGTTTGGTCGATCTGCCCAAGCCACGACTTCCTCGGTCGTCCCACAGGCCTCCTCCACCCAAGGTTGTCTCGAACAGAGACGACCTGATGGGCAGGATCATCCTGAGGAAAGCGAGCCAGGTGGCCGTATAGCCTGAGTTGGCGATCACGGATTGTGCAGATAACAGGTCCTGTGCCAGTCTCACGGTGCAACCGTTGGTTGGACACGTGGTCCCACCAACAGTACCCCATGATCTGGTGCAAGGACCTATTACAAAAGGCTTCAAGACGAGCCTCCAAGGCACAGGACAATGTCCAGGTATTACTCAGTAATACCTGCTCTGAAATAAAAACTATATGGAATTTTGAGCTCGGTTGTATGCGTAGTCTTCGTCTGGCGTTCAAAAAGCTATCGCATCCGTTTCGTGCGTTCCCGATAAAAATGAATATGTTTAGACGTTACCGTAAGTCTTAGGCACCATAAATTGGCAAATATCCCACACCTAGGCGTCTGCATGATTTTATGCACTTCTTAGTAAAGATAATGGGTGCAAATGGCTAATCATAAACTATACACTTGTTCTCCTTTGCAATCTGTTAATATTGACAATTATCAAAGAAAATGGTATGAGAGGGATAACTAATATATTTTATTATTTAGATATGAAAGTCAATGATGATGATTAATCTTTTTAACTTTATGTGCGTGCGTTCACGTACATATGATCCTCCTCGAAAATTATAAACACCCAGTGACCATCTCCCCCTCCCCCCCCCCTGTGTGAGGCATGGGAATATTCAACGACTTTCGTAAGTTCTCGAATTCAATGTACTAAATTCATATGCTTTTGAAATTCTCAAAATTGAACCACCATGTTGTATTCATGCCAGGACTTTATAATTAGAATGATTTTGTACTAATGTTGCCATCCACAGTTCCCCATTTCTTCAAAAAAAAAAAAAAAAAAAAAATAAAAAAAATAAAATAAAATAAAAAATAAAAAAAAAAAAAAGGTTTTTATCTGGTTTAGATTAGTTGTCTCTATGGTAAAATGCATTTATTAAGCTTTTCACACGAAAATATCAACTTTTATGAACAACGAAAAAAAAAAAAAATTACATACCTTTACAGAATAGCGTCCCTATTGAACATGAAAATTCCTATTGACTTGGTAATCATTGCATTGCAAAGTACACTAAATAAGCGTTTTTTTATATATAATATCATTAGATTCAGAGAAAAATAACAGAGATAACGAACTTTGGCAAGGGGCCAAATACAAAACGCCGTAGCTCCATTACTTTTTTATGAATCTTCGGTACATCCCAACTCACGTAATTCCCCTTAACCCACTTGTGACAAACGTCACACATATGTGACACCCGGGTGTCCCACCCATGCGACACTAGATGGGAGCTTGCACTGTTTTTTGTCACCTGAGGCAGGCGGCACATGGGCAGGTTCCCGAACTGGCCTGCACGCTTCAACCGAGTGGGTTAAATAAGAAGATTTGAGAACAAAAATATGTAAAACTAGCACAACAAATGCTTAAAATAGGCCAATGAAACTATATGGACATACCCGCCACCTTTAAAATTCTACGAACTGATGCACCAAAAGCCAAAAGCTCTACAGGATCCCAACCCACCTTCCAGCAAAATCTACAGGAATTCACACATACCAGAGCCCCTAAGAGATGCATTGACCAATAAATTAACCTACTCTAACAATTTAAGTTGCCGTGACTAAACCTGCTGTTTAATACTTTGATAGGCTCAGGAATTAAACTGGGATGGTTACTAAAGTCTATTTCTTCTTCGTTGTCACTGTATAGTCTTCAGAATAACTAAGAATCAACACAACACTGAAATGCAACATTTCTCACCAGAGTTCTGCCACAAAATGACCAGCTCAAACTGCCATACTTGACAGCTAAAAGTGTGAAATGCACAATGCACTAGTTTTTCCTTGACATGATCGAAACGTCATCCAGGTCCACAGTGTTAAGAGGGACGTTGCACTCTAGAATGAAGTTTGATAATTATGATAAGATTTTCACAATTTTTTTATGTTATATATACATATACTACAATTTACATATGGATAATAAACAATTAAGTTATAAAAAAAAAAAAAAAATCTGAAAAGTGGACAAAGGTGTAGTTTTGAGATATCAGGCTTTGAAGTTGAGGATACTTTTTTTTTTTTTTTTTTTGCATTCTATGGCATTCACATGGTATTCTGAAGTGTAGCTGGTACCTGGTCTCCCCCTTTTGCAAGGTACTAATGGCAATAACTGCATGATTGTAGAAGTACCGAGTGTGATCACAGGCTTCGCAGTGCCTTTGCAGTACCTTGTGAGGCATTTCATACGAATAAACAACTGCTGCAGCTGTAATTGAGACATATTTCTCATCATATGATAAAAATTCATACATTATATTTTATATTCTTAACAATGAAGATTAAAAAAGGAAAAAAATTATTAAGTAAACCAAGAGGAAATTTCAAAATCCGAATTATCTCAAATTTAGGTATTGCTATAGAGTATATGTGGTATCTTTTTTAACAAGTTCAGTCAATGGATAAGTGAGATCTATCTTTTTTTTTCTCTCTCTCAAAATCTTGTTTTTAAAAAATTAACTTCATTGTTTATTACCCAAATGATATGCAACTTGGTGGTGTAAAATCGTAGTATATGTATATATAACATATTAACCCATTAACGCGGGTATATTTTGAAGCCGAAAATAAAAGATTCCAGCCAGCTACAAAAACAGCGCGCGGGCATAGTCTGGGCCAGCCCCGAGCACCGATTTTGTAGCTGGCTGGAATCTTTTATTTTCGGCCCACTGCTGTGTCAGAGCGCGAGCCCCGATACAGCATCACACTAACGAGACACCCGGCAATGTTAATTTTTTCGGGTGTCTTATATGAGGGACACCTGTCACTAGTGGGTTAAAAAATCATGAATATCCAATCATAATTCGCGAGCTTCGTTCTCAAATGTGACAGCCCCCTTAGGCAGGGAAATATCTTGCCTAGAATCTTGAGACTTTCATGCTATCTCAAATAACCCCCGTAGATGGCTAGACTTTCGCTAGCCAAGTCAAGTGATGTGCCGTCACCATGGCAACAGCATCATTCGTGTACCGTACTGGTTACAAGCCTTTGAATGCGGACATTGGCCAAGAAAACCACTTCATATTTAATCAGAGGAATTAATCTTTACAGTTTTTGTTTCTGTAATTTCCAGAACATTATATTCAAAGAAGTTGAAATTAACTGAAAATGAAAGGATAATGAAAATTATGGGAATGAAAAACTATTTTTCTTATAAATCATAAATCAATATAAGACAAACAATTCATCACTTACTTTTAAACTCCTACTATTCATTAATATGCCTACTATTCAATGATACAGAGAATGGGTGGATCCCTTGTGACATCACGAGTCACGTGGCAACTTGGCTGCAGTGAAAATAAACCCGTTGCTAGGCCTTCTTTGCTGCAGCATAACACGGAAGTGAAGTAAAATATTGCGTTTGGAATCTATCTCCTGTTGTTAAGATGGCTTCATACCGCTATGAGGAATTTGAAGAAGCAAAATCTAGATATCTGAACAAGTTGATTATATGTAGCCTGGAAGTTTGCCCATATCAACTGCCAGCTGACGCTCAGGTAAATGATCGATGGAGTGGCCAAACCGTGAATGGCCAGAAATATACAATTATTAGGGGAACTCGCCTGGTATTTTTACTCGTGAAGCGATGAAAAATCGCAAAAGTCTCGATGCACACAATCAATTTAGTAGTGGCTGGGTGAGAACAGGGACTCACTTCAAAGTAAAGCGCAAGAATGCCATTGTTATGAAGGCCGATGTTATGCCGTCACGAAGACTGAACGGAATACCTTATTCACCTTGGGTGGCTCTTTACACTGGGCCATGGATATATTTACCCTGTTAAAAACTAGGATTTTTTTCAAAAAAATTAAATTATCCTCAGCCCCCTGTAGACTAGTAGATACTTTATGACGTCCCCTTATTATCTAAGAACTTAATGAGAAATTAAATCTTTTATTACAGAGAAGTAAATACTGTAACAAAATTATTCCTAACCAGTGATAAAATGCCTTCCGCTTCTTGCGAGTCGGATTCCAGGGAGTTGCGTCCTTGTTCCTTCACCTGCAAGCAGCAACCCATTTTTGTTACGTTCAGGAACATTATTTGGAAATAGGAAAAAAACCTGACTTGTCTAACGTCTTATTTTAATTTGTGCAACCAAATACTGCTCAACTT